CCCCAAAACCCCAAAACCCCAAAACCCCAAAACCCCAAAACCCCAAAACCCCTTTTAAGAAAGGTTTTATTGAGATTCAAACTATAGAAATATACTTAATGGAGTCTGGTAGTAGTAAGTGTCTTTCCTTACAAATGAGAACTATTTTGTCTGGACACTACTTTCTGCTCTAGAAAATATTGCCCGGTTAAAACCTAGCCTTAGGTTAGTAGTAGATAGTTAAAGGAAACTTGGATTCTCCCATATTAGAAGTGAGAGTTGGAAGGATAGGGATTTTGAAGAAATTAAAGAGGAGGTTTAGAAAATTTAGGAGAAAGTGGAGTTTAGAGATGGGCAAAATGAAGGAGAAATAGAATTTGAGGTTATCTTGATGGTTTAGGCAATCAGGATGAGGGTACTATAAGCAGTTTGATAACAGAGAATTCTCAGAATATCTTCAAACTATGGCTTGATAATATTGATGAAAGATTAAGAGAAGCCAACAAGACTAATATTGAAGAGCTGAAAGAAATCAATTCAGATTTTGAAAACATACTAATCGCTTGAAGGAACAAAGTCCAAGAGCTTAGCAATCTGCAGCAAGAAATGAGGACTCCTAGCTCTTCTGAAATCGAAAGAATTCTTGGAAGGATCAAAGAGAATTCGCAAAATTATTTTCTAAATAACATTAAGTTTCTTAAATGAAAATGGGAAAATTTAGATGAGAAAATTGAACAAGCTCTTACCAAAGCTCATAAAAATGAAAAGACTCTCACAATAATGAAGAAAATTCTGAATCTTTCTTTCGATGAATCTATAGAAACAATAAAAGAGTGATTCCAAGCTTTATGCAGCAGTATCAAGATGATACATAAAGATACAGAGTCTTCCGATGAGCATAAAAATATACTGATCTTGCTTCAGAGCTTTTCTGACCAGTTGATTGAATTATGAAAGAATGCAATTGAGGAAAAATACCATATAAGCGAATGTACCCTATGTGATGCCGACAGTTCCTCACTAAGTGAGCTGATATCAACTTTACAGTGGTTCCTCCAAGTTAATGAGATTTATCACAAAGAATTTGAGACTTTAAAGAACGAACTTAATGTTGATAGCAAAGAAAGTGAATTTGAATATTTTCTGAAACAAACATTTAGAAATTTGGATACTTTCTGATTCTGAATTGTAAGAATTATTAAACTGTTTACAATCATTCGACAATCTCAAGAATTGACTCAACATGACTTAGAAGGGATAAAGAATGTCACAGATATCTATAATTCATCAATAGTCTTATTTAATGAAAAATGTGAAGACCTTCTCAATTCAGATATAAATATTTTTAATGAAGCCTTTTATGAATTCTGTAATTCTGTTCCCTTATGACATAAAGCCCTTCTAGAGTGCATTGAGAAGAACCTTGAATCATTTGAAGGTATTGAAGATGCTCTCAAAGTTCTTTACAGCTTCAGAAATATTCTAAAAGAAGAAGACATCAGAAGTTATATCGAAATAAAGGATGAAACAATATTGAAAAATACTAAAGGAGAAGTTGGTGATGCTCAAACAGATGAGCAAAGAAAGCTCTATATAAGCTTATGTGCTCTAAGTTTTCCTGAAGGTACTAATGAAATTCCTTGGTCCCAATACCTTTACAGAATGATTAATTATTTACAAACATCAGAAAGCTTGTTTAAATGGCAAGAGAGCCAAGATCTTATTTATATAAATTATACAAAGAGTCATACAGTGCTTAATTTTGAAGAAGGTTTAAGAGAGGCATGGTTTAACGAGATTGAAAAAGCAGCATCAGATTTGGTGCAACCCCTTATTATTTAAATCTGAGGCTGAGAGCATATTCTACGTCAATTTCAATCCTGAAATACTAACGTTAATTAGAGAAGCGAAGTGATTATTAAAAATTGGAGTAGAAATTCCAGAAAAAGCAAAAGAAATCTTACATCAAGAAGGCTGATTGAAAAGGAATAGTTATGGGCTACAGATCATTCTCTGAGAGTATAATCATTTCTATTCCAAGATAAAACCAGTCTATAAGTCACTTTTGATGCCTCTTCTTGATGATTTAGAGGTTACGTTTCAGCCAGGAATGGAGAATTTAAAGTGGATATCTGAAGATGTTGAACAATACATCACCTCTTGACATGAAAAATTGAAAAATTTAGAAGGATTTATTAACCAGATAAACAATGTCGTAGAGAATGAAATTGAATGTAAACTCAAAAATACTTCGAAGATTGTATTAGCAGATTTACCTGAAGACTCTCAAAGCTTTACAACTAATTATTTCATCGAAACTCAAGAAAAATGGAAATAAGTGCGAATGCCATAAGCTTAAGATCATTAACATAGAAGTAGAAAACTCAGTGGATAAATTAATAGAATTACTTTCTTCTTATTGCTTAGGCCATAATCTCTGCCCAATTAATCCAGAAGAATCTCCAAAGCTTGTAAAATACTACAATTGGCATATGTATCAAGCATTATTGCAATTAACCAGACAGTCACTGAGATCTCTGAAAAACAAATTATGCGGAACTACTAGAGGCACAGATTCTTGTTCTACTTTGCTGTTCGACTGTTGTGTTTCTATTGATGTAACTGGCTGTATAATATCTCCTTCTATTAATGACCTTCAGAAAACTGTGAATCTAGAAGTTTCGGCGATTTTAAAATGCACAAAAGAAGTCTATAACTGGGGGCAACAAGAAGTTCCAGAGAATGAAAAAACTCCCTTCTATGATTGGATCATTAAGGATAAAGAAATAATAAAACTAGTCCTTCTATTGACAGGGGCTCTTCAAGGATTGAGACCAAAAGTCACTGTCTTTATGGAACAATTTAGCCAATATAAATGGCTCTGGATAGAGAATCCTGAAGAAAATGAAGAATGAAAAGAGAAAATTGAAAATTTGCCAAATCTTGAATGGATTAATAATATTCCAGATATTGAAAAGATAGGAGCTTTAAAGATTGAAACAACAGAAATAAAGAGAATTTTAACTGAAAAAGTTATCGAATGGAAGAAAGTATGACTAAAACAGTAATTTTTCAGCCATAAGATACTTCAAATATAAATTTTAGAATTTAGTTTTTCTATCATATAATATCCCACCCCTGTCTACAACATTTCCTAACAATATCTAAGTTCCAAAAATTGTCTATGGGGTTTTGGGGTTTTGGGGTTTTGGGG